AGCAAAATGACATCATATTCTGTCAAAGCAGTCCACAAAAATGGCAAATTGCTCTTCCAAGATTCAAACCCAAGTTAATTGAGTCATCCTTGCACCTTGTCAAACACCAAAGCACCTCACTATTCTCCAACCAATCCATTTTACTATCATTACGTACATCCACACAATGAACTGCGCTCCATCCACCCAAACACATTCCCTTTCACTTTCTCCTTGTACTTCCAAAAAAAGTTCATCGATGGCGATAAAACGTCATGTTTTCAATATTTATGATATAAAAGCATTGATGCATAATAAATTGATGATTATAAATTTTTTTTCTTGGATATATTCATATTCATATTTGGGCGTTAGATGTGTGTAGAGTGATAGGAAAACATTATAGAGTGTGTGACATTTATAGAATTAATGAATGAATGAAGAGCACTAACGCCATTCATATTTAACATATGCTGACGTGAATGAAATATTTTTTTTTTATAGTTATCGAAATTGAGTTTTGTTGAATGCGATAAAATTAATAAATTTTTTGGCATCTTATTTCGAGGATTTATTAATATTGATAAATGGTATTGATATTTATGATATTGTATGACAGAAAATGATTAAGAAATTTGCTACTTGACTTGTTAAGTAGGAGTTATTTGCAACAGCGGAGGATATTTTGTTGAAGGCAATTTTGCGCGTGTTTATGAATGAAATTATTGAGTTTGAATATATTCAGATGAAATTTATTGATCGTAAAGAAATCAGCAGAAAATGATGGTGTTGTTTGGTGGGTTATGGATGTGCTTTTGTTGTTGTTTTGGAAATTTTTGGTTGAAATTGAGGTTGCTTGAAGCATCAATGGAGGAAGTTTTTTTTATTAAATCACTATCTCAGCTAGAAATCTAGTTGGTTGTGTCTTGTTGTTCAGGAGCTGGTTTCTAGGGCTTTTCCGGACATCTCAACAAGAAGGGGTCAAATGAACCTCACAAATGTCTAGCTACGCTCTTTCTTGTCCATATTCTTCAGTTTTGAGTCCATAAAATCAAAATCTATATTTTTGATTGAGCCACTCAAACTGCTATCATCAAACTAAGCTTCAACTACCAATTAAAGTAAAACTTTTCCAATAATTTAACTTCCACAAAACTCAACTCATCACAAACCAAAAAACTTTTCTTGAGAAAAAAATCACATGTGAATAAATAAAATTATAAAAAATTTAAGCGTCGCAAATTTATGTTCACGGCACTACACAAGGTGCAGTTAAAAGGAACATAAAAAGATATATCATTAAACTGATAAATCAATAAAAATTCGATCTGCCCTCAATCAAATAAACAAAACTGATTCCATCAATCCGTTCTCTTTCACGTACAGGCACAGAACATTTAATGACTTTATAATTTCATATATTTTTTTTTATAATTCACTTAATTGGTTTTATTTACTTGAAACTTATAAAAGAGTCAGAAGAAGCACACACGAGAGAAAAGTGAACAATTTTTAACATAATTTTTATTTCCTTTTTATAATCGACTTGTTCTGCCAAGTCAGAATTTTTTTTCGTTCTTCTCTTTGCTCACAAATTTCATTTAAAAGTCGATTAAAGTATTTATTCTATACGAATATACACACATTTTATGCATATATAATATATGAACTACACACTGAAAATATTCAGCAAGAAGAATTATTTTTTTTTTTGTTCTTTATATCATATACAAACAATCTAAACGTACGTATTAAATCGCGTGTTTTTGGAACCCGCCAGCTGTTTTTATTATAATGTATACTCTATACATACTTGTGTATATATAAATATGGACTATATACAGGCTTTATTTTGTTATTTTTTTACTGTACGGAATGATAGTTAAAAGCGAAAAAATGAAAAATGAAATAAATAGCGAGGGAAAGAAGAGTCCCTTGTTGAGGATTCGTGCTGGATTTGTGACTAATTTTAGGTTTTAATGGTGGTTTTTGGTTCTTAATGATAGCTATATTTAGGTATTTATGCTAGTAATCATTATAAGAGTTGAGTAGGGCTAGTGGTGTAGTATGGAGGTGGTCTTGCTCCTAAGAACTGAAATATTGATTAAATAGAAAACAAGTTCGAATCCTACAAAGGCAATTTAATGGAAAAATTAAAAAATTTCAAATTATTTCGTTTAAATAATCGAAGCTAGTTAAGTTTGAACTTAAAAGACTCAACAAACACTTAATTAAGAAGTTTTAGGAATCAAACACATTTCTTTAAACAAAATTGACACCAATTCATCTTAATTCATACCCAAACTTCTGCTAATCCCCGTTAAAACCTTCCTTAAATCCCCATTAAAACCTTCCTTAAATCCCCGCAAGGACACTAAACATATTCATTCTTTTAAAAGGTTTGCCTGATACGTGCACATCGCCCAAAAAATAAATAAATAACACAGAACAAAAATAAAAATTATAACTTACATTAATAAGATTAAAAACATTTTTTTTTGTTAAGCTTATCAACGCCAAAAAAACCACCAAAAGCAAATTGGTCAGGAAAGTCTTTTTATGCCACCCTATTAAAAATATTGCTAGCCGTTATTCATTCTCATTTGCACTCATTCTCTTCTCTCATCCATTTTATTTCAATTGTTGTTGTTGTATGATACTAGTTCCTTTTTTTAAAATGGGGTTGTTGCAGATGATAAATATCCCTTTTTTTCTGCACTCACACATTGACAGTGGTTTGAATGTATTTAAGTCTAATTTTTTATAATATGGCAACATTGAATTCCTGCATGCGGTAGATTCCTTTTTAATGAACAACAAAATATTTCTTCATGTGTTGAATATTTTATGAAATATAATTTATTAGGATTATAAGCTAATAACTTTATTAAGATACGAGGAGATAATTTTTAATTTTTTCGAGTTTGTGAAAAATTGATAAGAATTTTTTTGGACATTTTTGAGGGGGTCAATGGTTTCAAAAATTGAGAAATATAAATTTTTAGCATTTTAAGTTTGTCATTTAAATTCCATGCAACTTTAACGATCATCCCTCAAATCCACCGCACTTCAATTCATAATATTGACGACCATATTTCACACATAATCCAAAAATTTAATAAAATATTGTTCATCTAATCCCTTGCATTCCTCATTCCATTATCAAATTAAATGAAGGGAAATGCCTCGTCCCTTGAGAGTGCCTTACAATAAACATCTTACAAGCAACACACAACAGTCCCTAAGGTACTGCAATTCTTTTTATGTGCTGTAAACTTTATTAAATTTGTCTAAGTATGTGCAAAAGGTTGTTGAATTAAAGAAATGCCAGGAATATTTTGGATAATGAAGAAATTTAATATGAGTGGAACTAAGATTATGTAAGAGGAGTTTTGATGAGAATTAGTATGGAGAATGGTGCTTGAATATGATTTAAAAATTGAGTATCAGTTATCAAGTTGGAATATCTTGTGTGTGAGGCACATAATTGATGAGTTTGGGGCATTCTGAAGAGTTTAATTGTGTCATGATTAAAATTTATTTTGTTTTTGAGAATTTTTGAAATGTAATATTTTAAATTTTACTAATTTTTCAATTTTATTTACAATTTTAATAAATTGTTAAAATTCAAATTATTAAAATTCTGATTTTTAAAACTATTAAATTCCAATTTTAAAAATTTATAAAATTAAAACGTTTAAAATTATTAAATTCCAATTTAAAAAATTAATAAAATTAAAATGTTTAAAATTATTCAATTCCGATTTTAAATATTAACATAATTAAAATGTTAAAAACTTTAAAATTCCAATTTTAATTTTAAGAAAAATTTACAATCTTAAGAAATTATTAAAATTCAATTTTCAAAAATTATTTAAATTACAATTTTAAAAACTTTTAAATGTCAAATTTTTGAAATTATTAAAACTTTATTTTGTAACAATTTTTAAAACATTAAAAACGCAAATTTTACAATTGAAATAATTTTAAAATTATTAAAAATTTAAAATTTTATAAAATTGGAGTTTTATTAATTTTGCAACATAAATCCCACCCAAAGACACCAAATAAAATCAACTCTCATTCATCATCCATCACACAAAATAAATCTAATCAGCAAAAACCTATTTTTACACATCCAAAAGCACAACATTTATTAAATCCCATCACAACTGGATGAGACTAAAAATATTTATCTCGTGTTTTTATTTTCATCTTCTCTTTTGAGGAATAAAAAAACCTTCAAAATGAAAAAAAAAAATCTTTAATTAATTAACAAAGAAAAAAAAAAGATGAAGAAAAAATATAAAAAAGTCTTTTTATATTAAATCAAAAATCCAATTAAATTAGATTTATTTTCTATTTATTAAGCAGACACTTCATTATAAAAAGGATAGAAGAACTTTTCTATATCTACATGATGTAGTGAATGTTGCTAGTTACAAAGAGAATTATAAATCATTTTGTAGTTTTTTTTTCTCCTTTCTTTTTTTCTATTTTGTTAAATTTAAAGTCATTTTGTGGAAGAGAAATGTGGATGAGGGTACAGCGATGTAGGTTTGATCTTTTTGTAGTTTTGGTGCATTTTTGGATGTAAAGTTCAACATGCGCTTAGAGATTTTAGAACAGTTAATAGTTTTATTGTTTAAATGATTTGATTTGAATAGATTTTTGATCTTTGGAGGGTGAAGGGGGTCCTGTTATCTGCCATCATTACTCACATCTCTCTCCAATCCGAAAAACCAATCAACATAACCTCAAAAAAGCGCCCTACCAAACCTACTCAATACTCATCCCATCCCCACATCCATACCTCAACCTCTCTTTAAACTTTATAATTTATGACAAAAAAACTTAAAAAAGTATAAAAAGACATGAAAAGGAAGAGAAAAAAAAATAATAAATTTTTGGTTGATCTAAAACTGTGAAGTAGATCATTAAATCTCTTGCGGATGTTATCTTACGCTTCTTGAGATGACTTTAAAGTAAAAAGAAAATATTTACATTATTTATTCTGTTAGGAACGAATCTACACCGCCTCAAATTTTCCTATTGCCTTACATGTTGAAAACTATAAATAAAATTATGCATGAAATTAATTTACAAGCCACTCGTGCGTTGTCAGAAGCTTGAGTAAGAAGGAAGCAAACGCACATCAAGCAGGTACGATGCGACTTTTTTTTAAATTGAAAAAATTGTAATTAAAATGGCTGATTCAGTGAGGAGAAGAAAAAAAGAATTAAACAAAATAAATATTTTTTTTTTTCATTTAATTGATGCAATCTTAATTATTTATCTGCTCTTCGACTCTTTGCTTCTTTCACTCGCTTTGTTGTTGTTGACTGTCGTTCTTTTCATTGCTTTTTGCCTTTTTGTCTGCAACGATTTTTGCTCTGCTCACTCGCTTGTTTCATGGTTTGATGCATTTTTCACATATAATTTTTATTATATTCTCATTTCTTTTATTAATTGTGTGATGGGGTGACGGGTTGTAGTTTGTGGGGTGGCTATGGCGCATTTTTTGGGTGTCCTGGATGTTGAATGAGAATAATGTTACTAGTCCGAGATATATGTTGGTGATCAGGGGTGTATTAAGATCGTCAGTGTTTTATTTGGGTAAGAAAGAGTGTTTAATGTGCAAAGCCATACCAAGACTAGCTATAGCTCCATGGCCAAGAAAGCAACCTAGTTACTCATCTTATAACACCTCTACTCCTTCGATTTCAACTAATTAGCGTCTTTGAGTGTCATTACTTATTGCAACTAGCTTTTTATATTCATTTTCATCCACCAGACTCTTCTGACACTTGAGTGTAAACCAGTTTATCTCAAATAGCCTACCAGACCCCATAAACCCCCTCTTAGATCATTTAGACAGAACACAACACATCAAACCTTAATCTGTCCCCAAACCCAACTCAACAACCTCCACAAAATTCAAGCTAAAAAAGGCGCGACTATAAGTTGAACAAAAATAATTTTTCTTTATTATTCTCTCGTGCAATCACTGCAAAAATATATTGCATTAATATATAAAGTACACAAAGAGGCCCCCTTTTTTATATTTCGATAATGTTAAAGCACTTGTAAAGACTCAAAATAATTAAGATGTTAAGCGTGCTCGCAATAACTCGTTTTACTTCTTCTTCGCCTTCGTTTCTTTGCTTTATGTCTTGCGTTATTTTCTCCTCTTTTGTAAGACACAAATAATAAAGCAACAGAAGAACAGAGAAAAATAAATAAAATCTTTTGCAATTGGAGGTTGTCTTTAAAGCTAAAATTTAAGATAACAAAATTGAAATAATGAAAAAAAAAAAGTTTTTGTTTGGCCTTTTTTATATTAAGATTTTTAAGAAGTAATCAAAGCGAGATTTCACATGAGATTTGACTACATATTATGGATGATCATTGATTATCGGTGGTTTAAACATGCGAGGAATGGAATGTTTTGTGTTGGGACTTTTTGGAGGGAATTTTTTCGTTGGATTTTTGTTTGGGATATTTTTGAGAAGGTTTGGTTGGATTTTGAAAGCTGTTTTGGTTAGATTTTGATAATATTGAGGAGACATAGGGTGACCATCTGCGTAGTTTTACAACGGACAGTCCTGTATTTCAAAACCCTGTCCTGTATAAATTTGAAAACTTTGTTCCAGGTCCTGTATTTTTTTCAGGAAAATTTCCGTTAATTTTCGAATTTTACTCTATGTCCTGTATTTTTTGAAAAAATTTACCAAAAGTCCTGTATTTTCATGAAAATTAGATGGTAACCCTAGGAGACATGATCTTTGTTGTAATGTTGAGAGCATTGTTCGAATCCTTGTCAAATCGACAACACTCTATGTAATGGATTGAAAGATCGGTCTCTGGTAGGAATCGAACCCAAGGTCTCACGAAAGAGTGTTACAGAAATCCGGTCTTTTGCCTAGGCACTCGACCATAGAGGTTCTAAACTCAAACTGGCAATTTCGCCTACATATGGCTCGATACCCCAGATTCAAATGCTCAGACACCAAAATTAGATGACTAGGTTCATTACAATTTAAAGAACAAAAGGATTCACGAGGACTTACTGAAATCTCTTAAATATGCTTTAAGATCATATAAAGCTCAAACAATCATAAGCAAATGAACCCTTAAATGCCCATTAGGAGATAATCTCTAAAATGTATGTTAGTAGCACCCATGCACACATATCTCTTGATCCACATCCCTACATTCACTCCATTAAGTCATCATTACTTCCTACACCCTCACCATAATTCCTTTAAAAGAATTCACAAATAAATTTTATCCCTTAAACTTCCTGCAGTGAGAATCTTTCATCCTAATTCAATTTCCCAGCACACACACACACACAATAAAGTTTCTCATCCTTACATAATCTTTTGGCTTTAAAGCAATTTTCATTTGGATGAAAAATCACTAAAAAACCGACGATTAAGAAGAGAATATAATAATTTAAAAAAAAACTATGTACAATGAATGAAAATATCTTTAACCTGACATCCTTTCTACTGTCAAAAAGTTATTTCAATATATCATTGCATTATCCTACATTCTCTTGTTCTATAGAATTATATTGTTTTTCTGCAAATCCATGTGCGTTTAAATTTATTTTTTTTTTCTGCTGCTACCACTGCTGATGCTCCTTCCTTCTCATTGTTTGTGTGGCATTATTTTCCCTGAGCCAAGCGGTGAAAATAAATTTTCATGTGGATTTTCCTCGTCGTAGTTTTTCATGAAGAACACAAAAAAAATGAGAATTGTACACAGAAGGGATAGAGATGGATATACCAGGGGTAAAAAATATATATGACTGAGACCGAATATGAAAAACTAGTACATAGATACTGCTGTGCATAAATACAAACGCAATTTATATTTTATGTACATAAATATATAACAAATGGTTGTGCCAGAAGCACAGAATCAGCAGAATATGAGATATATTATATATATTTATTATATGAAGATGGCATGTACACAAAATGTTGCAGGGTGTTTCATTTGTACACTCGAAATCGGAATGAGTTGAGTAAGTGAAAAAAAGTACAGAGAATGCTTTTTGATAAAGGAATGTTTGTATGTTAAGGTGTCCTTGTGAGGATTTTGGATTGATTCTTAGATTTTTGAGGTAAAGAATTTGAATTTTGAATTATAGATCCTAATTTGAGGTAACATCTTAAGATTAGAGGTTTTTTTTTTTAAGATTTGAAGTTATATTACAAAATTTAAAGTTATTTCAAAAGATTTGAGGTTAAGTCCGGCGATTTGAGGTTAGATCACAAGATTTAAGGTTATATCTTAATATTTCAGGTTTGCTCACAAGATTTGAGGCAAGATCACAAGATTTAAGGTTAGCTCAAAAGATTTGAGGTTATACCTCATGATCTAACCTCAAACTTCAGCATTTTCAATTTAAATTCTGACAAAACCTCCTCAAAGGATCCCACAAAAAAAGAACTTTTTAAATCAATAATAAAAAAGAGTGAAAAAATGATTCATTCCATTTCATATGAAAAGAGAAATGAAGAACAGGAAAAAAATCTGTAAAATATGCACATTTTATTTTTCTCGTATGATTTATAACTTACTTTTCTTCTCTTATATCAATTCTTTTTTTTTACCCGAACATCTCTTGTGATGTTATGTATTGCTGTTGTTTAAATTGAGACATACTTTTTTGAATGAGAGAGAGAAAATCGTATATAAATATATATTTTTTTTCTTTCATTTAATCCACAAAAAGTACAAGCAAAAAACGAACAGAACAAAAATCTGTTTTTGAAATAAAAAAAAAACTTGGCGTGTGAAAGACATTGTCGAGGATTTCGGGGATAAGGCGCATTTTTTGAAGGGGAATATATTTGGTTTGAAGTTAGGAGGCATTATTTTAGAGGTTTTAAGTGAAATGCTATCAAAACTCATTCAAACTTCTCCAAAAAGTGGGGATAAAATAAGTTTTTCGTCAATTCTTTAGTTCGAATCCTAATGATTAACTTGAAACTGATTTTCATACTAAGAATAGGCAAAAAAGCTAGTGTTGACCATATTTTAATTCAAAATACTGTTAAATATTTATGTAGTAGATGCTAGACTCCAAAAATGTGTGAAAGGCTCATTAGGGCTTAATATGCCATATAAGGACCAACTTAGAGAATCTTGAGCAAAAAGATGAACTTAAACGATTCAATTTAAGTAGAATAAGTGAAAAAATTGCTAAATTTCGAACTTAAGATAGCTTGACCAATGTATAAGGTTATAGACTACATAAACCTAGTCCATTGCTCGACTAATCCACTAAGCATCTTTAATCTCAATTCATTAACCTACCTTAACTCCATAATTATCCAACAGAATTAATCAAAAATGAAGTAATTACCTAAAATAAAAAAAAAAATCCAAACTGAATCCAACCAAGCCATCACAATTCCCACAGATAAAAATTTAAAAAATGGCTATAAAAAAAAATTCAACAAGCCCAGACAAGAGTCGAAAGAAGGCGAGAGAGATGGAGCGATATAGATATAGAAAGAGAATAAGAGCATTTTATATTATTTTTCCAAAAAGGCAAAAAAAAAAACACAAAATTTTACATGATTCGGCTGTGGCTGGAAAGTACATTGAGTACACCAAAAAAAAAAATTATATATAGAAGTATATGTACATAAAATTATTGATTTATGAAAAGCTATTTTCCGGTGGAATACTCATTTAGAAAATTGTGTTAGTGAGAATGAACATGGCAGGATAAAAACGACAAAAAAAGGAACAACTCAGCACAACTGAGTGCATCGAGTGAAAATGAAAATGAGAAAAATTCACAAATTGGGTGTTAAAGATATTCATATATCACCCATTCATTTCCACATTTATCTTTTGGTTGATGGCGATGAGTAAATGCATTGTTGCCAAATTTTCCATACGTCATTCCTGTAAGGACTTTAATTATAATTATCTCAATTTTCGTTCAGTTAATTGACAATTTTTTTTAAATCCAATTAATTTTTTTGCTTTTTTGGTTCTAGAAATATTTTTTAATTTTTATCTATAAATCCCGTAAAGAGCTATGAAATATACGCGAAGCGAAAAAAAAAGTCATACCTTTTTTAGTGTGTGAGAGGTACAAAAATATCATAAATCAAAATTCTTTTTTCGAGAAAAAAAAAGATGTATGGAACATTCAGCATTCAAAGCCATATTTACCGACATGTTCTTATTTTTTA